AAGTTCTGACAAGTAAAGAATTTTCAGAGTCCTGGCACAAATAAGCTACGTATTGATTATCGACCATTTGTGATATGCCATAACGAGGAAAAATTTTAAAAATCTAATATGTAGATTTAAAATTAATAAATACAAATGTATTCTGAAAGTTTATGAGTTAATTATACTTTCTATTTGCAAAATTTCCTCAACCTTAACACAAAATAAGAAAAAAGTGAATTTTTAAGAAATTTGCGGGATTTCCAGGGATAAGAAAAATTTCCCGGGTTAAAACAACAACCGGGATCCTGTTTGAGAAACTCTAATAGGAATAACTTCGAGAATGGAAAAAAGTGACAGGCCAAACATAATACTTAATTTAATGTCATTGGGTCAAGTGACCCACGTTTCTAATTTCTTCAAATACAGCGAATTATTCAAAGTTTATTTGTCCATTTTCTGAGCACCACTGACAAATGATGAAAGCTGAATCGCAATAAAATACTGTATGTGATATATATTGTTTTGGTTCAACACTGGGGCGATACTGCATAATTTTACAGCATTATATTATCGCCTGTCAGAATGACCTCTTAATTGAGTGAAAAGTGGCCACTTACAGAATTCACAGATTGTGATGAATATATTCTTTTCCAAAACAAATGGATACCTTACATAGTACATGTTACATCTATCCTTTTCTAGGCATAATAAGGATGGATCAATTTTTTCCCTCCACTCGTGTGGACTGTAGCAGTTGGCTCCATTCTAAATGTAAAGAAGATTACAGTAAAAATATTCTTGTTATTCAAATTGATGCTTGTATAGACTAAAAAATCTGATTTAAGAATTTTTGGTATTTTATATTTAAATAAATATTTAACAATGATGTTATACTTGATGCAATTCAAACCAGATCCTTAAATAACTTAATAATTAAAATATATTAAAATTTTTGTAAAATGCTTAAGACTTGTAAATGTACATTTTTTTATGTTGATATTCTATACATTTTAAATACTTAAAAATTCATAAATACTGTTTAATGGAAGTAATTATTTAATCATTCATAAATTTGCAGATTAAATCTAATTATTTGAAATAAAAGTAAAAACAAAAATTATTATTTATCAAAGAATCACAATCAATTTTTGTTGTTGGCATTTAGCAATTATATTTGTTTAATTTATTCAAATGTTCTTAGATACAGTGAAATGCATTTTTTGATCTCTATCACAGATTTCCTCTTCCTTGCTTTTACTGATTAACATTCGAAACACTATTTACAGATTATAATACAATTATAATAAATACAAATTAATTTATTTCTAACATTTAAAATTCACTGTTTCAAATTATAATTAGTAATAAAGTACAAAATAGTTCTCACAGATCTTTAGAGATTACAAATTTGCATATTAGCTGCACTTTACTAAAACTAAGTGAAGAAAATATTTCTGTGACTTGAAATTGAAAGGAAGTATTTTTAATATTAATCTTTATTTAATGCAATACTAAATTTCTAAGAGTGCACTTCATTCAAAGAGTAAGAGAAAGATAAGAAACAAAAATAAAGAATTTAGCATTTCAAAACAACTTCTTAACATTCAATTTACATTAGTTAAGATGAACAGATGTAATTTGGGCATCACAAATATCATGTTACTCAATGCTATACTTGCATTCTTAATTAAAAATACAACATGTGGTGACCCAAAAGTCAGTTAACTATTATAAAGACTAAATTGTCATCTTATTCACATATTTTATTTAGAACCTTATACTTCATGTTTGATACACAAATTATTGACATTCTTGAAAAATACATGATTAACTGACTTTTGAATTGCCTTGTATGTCCTGCATATGGTTTTAATATTTGTATTAAAATCAACAAAACATATAACATCTTTTAAATAGATTATTATAAAAATACATTTTATTTTAACGAAATACTCATTGTTAATGATTATTAATTAAAAACATATATTAATGAATATTGGAATGATTACTTTAAAACTTAAAATGAACAAGTTAATTATTTATATAATACTAATACAATAAAATAAAAATATAGACATTTAATAATAAACTACATTTATAGCTTGGGTTCAATCATATTTGGCACTATCGTTGCAAATTATCTCTAAAAGTGAGTACTAGAGAAATTTTCTATTAAATATACATATACATTATACATAAATATATCAAGTGTCCTTCATATTAATACAAATAAATTGTGCATATAATATTATGCATGAATTTCTAACATGAATAACACAGTTGCATTATGCAATTTTAAATGTAACAAATGGAAATGAAACTGGAATGAAATATAAAATTTATCACATTTTCTCAATTGAAATTTCTTACAGGAAAATTAATTTTACCAGAGTAAGAGATAACAACTTACTACCAATTTGAACTTAAAATAGGAAGCAAAATTTGAAAATATACAATTTAGAATCTTTGTATTGCAATTATTATTTTACCCAACAGGGTAATTGGCTAAAAAATGCTAAAGAATTCTTTTCAAGTAAATAATTTCTCATAACATTTTTATATTTTCTTTTTCATTTATTTTGTACAAATAATCAAGAATAGATAAGAATGTATAATTTTTGAAATGTAATTCTAATAATATTGTGACATGTTTAGGATCCTTGATTATAGTTAAACAACAGAAACAAAAACTTTCTCAAATTAAGAAGTCCTGTGAAAACAAATAAAATTCCTTAATTAATTTGTTAGAAAGTTTTTTTGTCTGTGTTTTAAAATCATTCTAATAATAATAATATACATTTTGAGATACCAACATACGTAAACAAATTATGTTCAGTATATCTAAATTAGTGAAATATATTTTTTTCTTCTCTTTGAAGTATAAAAATAAAAAATTAATCATGCACAAAATTTATATACAGTACATTAATTATTTTACTACAGAGAACACACTGTGTGGGAAGGCATTTGACTTTGTTTGTGAAGATTACGATTCTAAAAGATAATTCCAAAAGACAAATCATCCATACATATAATTACTATTTCAAATAATCATTTGTTTTCTGATTTCATTAAAGGAGAAATAAATATGAACTGGTTTTCATAGAAAAAAATATTGTTAATTGTAGAAGAAAACAAAGTTGCTTTAAGAGCAATAGTATCATTACCAGATGTAATAGAAAATTACTAAATGGATTTTTGATCTTTCAGATTTTTTTGAAAATTGAAATAGTAAATTTTACACACAACTAATTTGAATTTCCATTAAGATGATATAGTTAAGAAATATTAAATATTAATAAGTAAAAAATCTGAAGAAAGGATATTTTTTAGATGTTTCTACAAAACAAAAACAGATAATAGCAATGATAAAATTTTATCAGTGCCTGATCTCAAACAAGTAATTTCAAATACTGTATCAACAACAAAAATTTCCAAGAATATTTAACAAAAAAAAAATATAAATAAAATAAGATCATTAATTAAAAAGTGCATGATAATTCTTATTAAATAATGTGATACACATTTAACATTAAAAAAAATACTTCTTATAAATTAACATGTGTTATTTTGAACATAATATGGAAATATGATTTTTTGTAAAAAAAAATTGTTTTGTTCATAAAAATTATATATTTTAGAAAATATATACAATATATAACTGACTGTTAAATGAATAAGTAATAGTTAAAGATTTAAAGCTATAGTTTTATCATATTATAACAGAATCTTTAAATTGCAAACTTCTCAACACCATATAAAAATAGAAATTTTCACTGCTTTCAGGTAGACAAATATTTTATTATTTGTAAACATTTTCAACCTTTTTCAGCCTGCTTCAATTGCAGAAATTCTTATAATAGAATATCAAATGTTATAAAATCAATGGAATAAATAAATAAAAAATATAAATTTATTTTTGGTTAATTTTATTTGTATTTTGTAGTCAATTTTCATTTAGAATAATGTTTAATATTTATATTTATGTATTAATTTGAATTTAAACTGTTGTTCAATTCTATAACATCCAATATTCCATTACAAGAATTTCCATAACTGAAGCCAGCCTAAAAAGGCCATACACATTTTTACATATAATAAAACATTTGGTTTCTTTATTATATATAAAAGTCTGAAAGTAGTGTAAATTTCTATTTTTATATAAAAAGAAATAACTCTCAATATTAACTGATTGGAACATTAAGAATTAATCTGTAGATAATGTTTTTTCACTTATAATCCTATAAAATGGTTTTGTGAACTACATACACATATAAAGATAAATAACTATTAAAAAAAGCTATGTAATAAAATAAACCAAAATGTAGAATTTAAAAAACCAATTTATAAACCAACCAGATAACAAGTTTTTTGGAATATTTTTATACAAAAAATTTAATCAATCAAAAATTTGATTTGGTACAGAAGCCAAATAATTAGATTAATTTTACTTATTTAATATTGAAGTTATGTACAGAAAAAACAATTGATCAAAAGTAAAATTCAAATCCACAATCATTAAATAAACCCACATATTATAAAAATAAAATTGAATGTTACATTAAAATAAAAATGATTTTGATTCTATAATTTATTTGATGGGGAAAAACAGATAAATCATAAAATTAAGAAACTATTTCTACCTTAATAGAAGAGATGTAATCAGACTGCTTCATTATCTTAACTTATATTGTTTATGGATCGGGCCATTACTTTCCAGTATTAAAGATTATGTATCAGAATTATGTTTTAACTTCCATAAAAAACTGGAATATCATTTTAAAATATATATTCAATTTAAGATTTAAATCATAATATGGAGAATAAAAATAAAATTTATGAGAAATTTCTATTCCTACTACAAGTTATGATAGAGCAGTTGATATATTATTTCAGAATAAATTATTAATATATTATTTAAGAGAAATTTTTATATAACAGATGATAATTATTTTTACAAAAATAATTTATTTAAGATTAAGTACATTATTATATACAAACATCAAGTATACTTACTAAGAAAGATTTCAATTTTGAATATAATAAATCAAATGTTAATATTAAACTTGTTGAATAGAATATTTGATATTCAGTATTATATGACTATGAAAATTCTAAAAATCCACATAATTTTTATAAGAATAATTTGTAGTCATGTTTATTAGCCAGATAAAATTTAAATAAACTATTAATACAAATTTAATTTGTTAAAAATCTAACAACTAAAAAAACAGAAAACTGTTGAAATTGTCTTGAGTTTTCATCATTTATATGATACACATTATGCCTATACAATATATAAAATTTATAGTAATTTTTTCTTCTTTCATAGAAAAAGTCGTTTCTGTTAGATATGTACAGGCATCTTGAAAGAATTTATTACTTTACATTATTTATATAAATTTGCTTATAAAACTCTGAATTTGTACAATATTATTTGACAAACCTCATTGATGTCATCATGAAATCAAATTTCCAGTTTAATAATATTGCACAGGGATAAATAAGCTAAAAATTTTTCTATAAAAAAACAAAGTTAATGCACAGATTTTTGCTAATAATACATAAATTATATACTGATGGATTTTCATTCAATTTTTGCTATTGATGCAATTTTTGTCTATATCCATCTGGCATAAGTGACCACTAATTAACTTTTATTATACTAATTTACCATCTAATTTGATCTTTGTATCGATCATGTACACTCCATCTCTTTAATGTTTCGTAACCTAATACTATAAAAAATGAAGATATAGTTGACTGCACGAGTCTTGCCGATAAACCTTTTTTAAATATTCCAAGTTTTTCTTCTTCCCATAAATTATACAATGCTGTTGAAAAGGAATTCATTCTTTGTACCTGCAATTGAAACATTTTGAATGTTGATAAAATCTTAGCAAAATTTTAATGATGCTTACAAATATTTTATTTTTTATATAAAAAGTAGTGACATGTAATACAAATATACTTATATCTGCATTAACATCGAGAGTTTCTTAACCCTCTTAAAAAAATTCTGTAGAAAAGATTGTCTCTGCAATGGAAGACTGTTGTTCCTGGTAATTTGACATGATGAAAATGGAGACTTTAGTCTTTTCTATGGAATTTTTTTTAATGTGTAACTTTGTCAGTCGCTTTTTTAAATTTGTTATATTTCAATGATTCTCAAATTGTGGAGCATGCCTCCCAGAAGAGCACAATCCTTTCTAGAGAAGATCAAGAAATTATTGTTTATTTTCAAGTAGAATTCTTGCACATACTCCATATATTATCCATACTCTAGTTTAAGTAACCTAGCATTAAAAACAATTGCGACTTATATCTTTGTTTTATTAATACAGTAGAGTCCCGAAAACTCAGCCTAATGTGGACCAAAGGGTGGCTGAGTTTGTGAAAATGCCGGGTTATCGGGAATGGGGTTAAAAAAAGAATAAGTACAAGTGTTTCCTCTGAGGAAACACTTGTACTTATTCTTTTTTTACAAGTACTGTACTGTACTTGTATGTATTGTTTGCTTGAGAATACAATCAGAGAATAAACTGCCCAAATATCCTTAAACAAAGGAAAAGTACAGTACATACTTTATGAAGGCCTTTACTACATGAAAATGAAAATTAATGAATACACATTGTACAGTAATTTACCTGATAAGACAGACCCCAGAAAAATACTTTATGAGGCATAAAGCTGTCTATAGTGAAAATTAACTAGGGATTTTTTCGCTCTGCCAGGGTGTGGCCGAGTTATCCAGAGTGCCAGGTTATCGAGTGCCGAGTTTTCGGGACTCTACTGTACTATTAAATTACAAGTTATTATTGTGGTTATCACCAAAATGTAGTCATAATGAAACCAAAATTTAATTTCATTTAGTAGCTAAAATTTCTGTATGCTATTTAAATTTTGTTATTTAAAAATATACCATCAAAATATGCATGTAAATCTGAGATAACACTTAATGCCAATATCTAAGCCAAATTACTTAGCATTTTAATTATTAATAGTAGCTCATGTTTTTGATCTCCATTCTTCCAGCTTGTTCAAACTGTATAATAAATTCCTCAGACACAGTAATGAATCAGTAATTTGCTAATAATCAATCAATGCTGATAAATGATTATAAATTTATAATATTTATAAAAAATGTTGAAAACATCTGTTACATTTTCACTGTTTAATATATAATGTCATATGTACGCATCTATTTC